TTATTTGACAGAGAGAGACATAGTGAGAGAGGGAACACAAGCAGGGGGAGTGGGAGAGGGAGAAGCAGGCTTCCCGCCGAGCAGGGAGCCCGACGTGGGGCTCGATCCCAGGACCCTGGGATCATGACCTGAGCCGAAGGCAGACGCTTAACAACTGAGCCACCCAGGCGCCCCTAAAGATTTTATTTTTAAGTAATCTCTCCATCCAATGTGGGGCTTGAACTTACAACCCTGAGATCAAGAGTCCACACTCTCTACTGACTGAGCAGCCAGATGCCCCCATTGAACTCTGTTTAAATCGTTTTTTAAAAAATTTATTTCAGAGAGATAGAGAGCATGGGGGTAAGAAGCAGAGGGAGAGGGGCAAGCAGACTGCACTGAGCCCAGAGCCACTGCGGGGCTGGATCCCATGATCCCGAGATCATGACCCGAGCCGAAACCAAGAGTCAGATGCTCAACCAACTGAGCCACCCAGGCGCCCCTAGAACTCTGTTTAAGTGAAACATTTGAGGACTACAGAAATGGTTGTTACATGGATCAAGTTACTAAGTATACTGTTAAATAGGCTTTGAAAGTGTGTTTTCTGGTAATACAAGAAAATTAGAGGAGGAACTACATTCATTTCTATTCCTAACAAGTTGAGTCATATGTTTACACTCTCTTGACTGCTACTTTAAGATAAACTACAGCAAGATATTTAAAGTGCTATTACAAAGGTTTTTATTTCAAAAGAAGAATTATTTGCTTAAAAATGTGTTTACCTCTTTCCTCAGCACTTCTACTTCTGAGGGTAAAGATTTCAATGCTGAGAGCAAATTAACTTCTTTACGCAAAGCTTCATTTTCTTCAACTTCTTTATTCAGTTCTTTCTGGAGGTCAGTAACCTTACTTTCCAGTTCCAAATTACAGAGCAAATCTAGGACATTTTGGGTAAATTAAAACAGTGTGCAGTTATTGGGACAATCTAAATTATATGCAAAGTTAGATTATTTAATCAGACTATATAAAAATTTATTAAAGAGTCAATGTTGGTTAACAGGTAATCTTAACTGTTAATAGTTCTTCAACCAATTTTTGAAAATCAGGTCCAATTTATTTGAAAAATAATTCCTAAACCCTTATTAATTGGAATTCTATGGAAGCAGTTATAAATACTGATCTCAAATAATATCAAAACTCATTATTAGGCTATTAAAACAATCATATCAGAGGATAATAGATTTCTACCCATTGGAATATAGTCGCAAAATCCTTCAGGTAGGTTTCTAGACAAAGTCAGATCTGCAAAGAATTAAGTGAAATTATGAAATACCTTTTGGAACTTTGCCATCTATAAGGGAGGTGAGTTTTGTTATTTCATTAAAAGAAGATTGTAATTCTTTCTCCAGATCCACTTGCATTTTCTTTTTTGCCTCCAGTTGGCATTGATATAACTGAATATCATTTTCCATTTGCTTGTATGTATTTGTAAGTTCTTTCTGTTGAGAGAAAGATTGCAAATTCACAGAAATGTACTGATTGTAACAACTATTTTATTATAAATATTACAGGAAACAGTTACCATTTTCTCTTTCAGCTCCAGATTTTCACTTCTAAGAAAGGCTGATTCTTTCTTGGCATCAAGGGCTACAGTTTCAGTATCAAGCAGAGTCTGTTTCATTTGTTTTATGTCTTCAGTGCTTTCCTATACACAGGACAAAAAGAATTTAGTGAAATATGCTAATTTCAAATGTCTATTTAGGAAAAGATGAAAAGAAATAATATTTTCCATAATAAAAATATTTTAAATATTTATTTATTTATGAAAAATTGGCTATATTTTTTCCAAATTATAGAAGCATTGTAGAGACTGAAGAAATTTGTTATTGTTTAAAAAAGGTTAACACAATTGTTGTTCAGCTAGCTTGTTAAAATTTCCTATGTATTTTTAAGTCATTCTAAAATGACTTAAAATGACCTGCCATCTAAAAATGGCAGGTGAGTAGTTCATAATTAAAATTAAGGATATGAAATCACAAATTACAAAGAAAAAGACAAAAAAACCAATAGAAAAACAGAGAAAAGATGAATAGGCAACTCACAGAAGGGAAAATGCAAATGATTGATAAATACATGAAAAGATCTCAGTCTCATTTTTAGAGAGAAGTGGCATTTTAACTTTAGCTTACATAAATTCAACCACATATATCCTTGGCAGAATATTAATGCACAAATGAATGAATGAATTGGATGAATAAAGAGAAAGAAATAGCAATTTTTAAAAAGTGGGCAATTCTGCTTGCCACTCTATCAACAGACACTCCTGGATTATATGAAAGTGCCTTTCTTCCCCCTTTCTTTAGAACAGTAAGATTACTTTTACAAAGGATCATTTGTCAGTTAACAGAAGAGTCCTGATAGAAGGTAATAAAAACTACTCTGAAAAACTCAAATGAAAACAAAAGAAGAAAAACCAAAATTTCAGCTTGAAACTGCTGCCTTCTTAAAAAGAGTTAAAAACTAGAATCAAACTGATACTTTCTTGAAGTAATCAGGAGGACTGAAGGCAAATAGAATAGAAAGCAAGCAGCAAAAATTAACAATTTCATCATGAAATTCAATGTTATTTAATGCCATATCTTTTTTTTTTTGAAGATTTTATTTATTTATTTGAGAGAGAGAGCATGCAAGAGAGAGCTCGAGCAGGGGGGAGGGGTAGAGGGAGAGGGAGAAGCAGACTCCCTGCTGAGCAGGGAGCCTGATCCCAGGATTGATCCTGGGACTCCAGGATCATGACCTGAGCTGAAGGCAGATGTTTAACTGACTGAGCCACCCAGGAGTCCCTTAATATCATATCTTATACCAACTAAAATCATCTAGAGCTACAGTTTCTGAAAAATACCAAACTGTTAAAATAGTTATTTAAATTATAATGAGAATGCATTAATATTAATGAAATTTATAAAATCATGCTCAATCACATGTGATATGTACAGTTTCAGTTACTTATCAATACCAACATAAGTGCTCACCTGGAGATACTGACTACATACTTCTGCATGCATTTGCATAAAATAATTGAAAAAAATAATAAATTTTGAATTACTAATTTTTAATGGAAGTTCATCCTTAACTAACTTATATTCTCAAAGAATGATATCCTCAACTCTCTATGAATGATTCTTTATCCGTAAAATGGCAATGATACTAACAGTCCCTCTTTTACAGTCATAGACAAGATTAAATAAAATACTATATGTAAAACAATTACAACAATGCCTGGCACACAGTAGGCTCAATGTAAGCTCAATATTGATAATAATGATGATGGTATACTATAAATGCCTACATGATTAAACAACAAAATAAACCTGATTTTTACCGATGAGTATGACAAGTCCATTTTCATATCTTCTGACTTCTGAGAGTCTATGTATTTCTGTAGCTTCTTAATCTGGTCTTCCCTTTCTCTAAGCAGCTCTACTTTTGAGCTTAGTTCATTCTATAAGAAGTATGAAACAGAAAAATGTGAAATGTATTTTCTTGGATTTAAATTTTAGGAGATAAAAAAGAACTTACATTTAATAGTTTAAACCATTAGTAAAATTTAAAAAGTTGATATTTAAAAAACAAAATGTTTCTTCTATTTTCTGAAATCATGTTCAATTACGTATGATGTACATTTTATAGTTCTAGTTCCTTATAATAGAAATACCAACATAAATGCTCACCTCAAGATCTTGATTATACACTTCTGCATGCTTAACTAAATTCTTTAAGTTGGAAATTTCATGAGTTAGTTGCATCTGTAAGAGCATGTGAACAGGCAACAGAGCAAACCAATAGTTAATAAAGCAAAAAAAAAAAAAAAAAAACCCACCAAAAGATAGCATTTATTCACTGCTTCAGAATCACCAAAACAGTAAGAAAGGATTAAGAGATCAGTTGTTCAAGCTACTGTTACAGATCATCTCATTATTTGAAGATACAAAACAAACAGAAACCCAGTAAGTCAAACAAAAAATCCTCAAACCCCACAAAACAAGCAAACAAGAAAAAAACCTCAGCATGACCCAAGTAACAGTTATGTCACCTGTTAATAATGCTATAATAATGTCAAAAGCAAATTAGTATGCATCCCTTGGAAGATATAACCTGGTAATCAAACTTTAAAAAACACACTTTTAATAGATTTTTGTTTTGGGGAGGTTCAATGCAGAAATGTTATTTATTCTGAAAGATATTTTGGTTTCTTCCCATAAATTAGCCATTTAGCTTTACACTGGCATACCTTTTAAGGATTTGTGTTTTAAAATTTAGGTCTGGATTAGGGTAGTTTCATGTGGTGCCTTTACAATAATATTACTGTTCACTAAAGCTACAGAGATATGTATAGGATTATCAATTATTACCTTGTTGATTCATTCTATAGAAAATGATGTTATTGCTTTATATTTTTTAACTGTCTAAAAGTATAAAGAATACTTAAAAATACATGTGTTTCTATTAAAGTTTCCTTTCCATCAAATACCTGGAGCATTAAATATTTGAGTACTACATACATTTGTGTCAAAACACGTAAATGACAACTTACCAGAGATAAACATACTTTCTCTTAGAATTATGAAATCTTCATAATTCGGTGAGTCCTTAAAAAGTAAAGGCAAGTCCTTTCTTGATCAAAACTCTTCAGAGTATAGGCATAGAGGGTACATACCTCAATATCATAAAAGCCATCTATGAAAAACCTACAGCGAATATCA